TATTAAATACATCAGCAGGCTATGTTATAATGATATTAAAAAAAACAAAAAAAATCACAGTGTCATAATGATAGGCAAATGAGGTTCTAAAAAAAAAAAACTTGCGCTATGTCGAGTTTGTAATAGTACAATACATGAAAAAAAAGATAAAGGATAATGTTATAAGTTAACGTAGGAATCGTAGTATTCTGAGGAAAAAAATGTTTTGAATAATTACAAGAAAAGCCATAATACCTGAAAATAGTCATAATGCCGAGAATAAGTTGTTAATGTTAATCCTAATAACTAATCAGAAAAGTATCAGAAGGTGAGTCGGACAAGAATAAAGTTGTAGTGCGACAAGAAAAATGGGATATCGCAAAATAACGTCATAATGTTGCAGTAATCAAGTCCTGTCTGTCGTGGATATCATCAAATAAAATAAATAATGTCATCATGTTAACAACCAGAATGAAGTGAAACTTATAATAGCAGAAAAAAGTTGAAATAATACCTGAAAAAAGCCTCACACAAATAATGTTGCAATGTTACCAGGGGGGGAAAAAACGTGACGGATGTGTCGAATGTGTTATTCTATTCTTTTTAATTGTTCTCATCAATTTAGAAATACTATGATTGGTCATCATATTTCTGAATGCTAAAACTTACGATTCATCCTCGTCTTCTTCCGTCTGCCAGCTGTTGCAGAAGTCGTTGACATTGACAACCTGAACGCCATCTGGCTTGGCAAAGTCATTGTTCGGGTTCCCGTCCAAGTCGCCGCACAGACCGCACATCTGGTCGTGGTAGGAGCTTCCGAAAAAAAAAAGCAGGATTAAGAGATGGAAACCTCTTTCCCGGGCTCAGGAGTGCACAAATGGCCAAGAGTAAACGTGCGCAATGATTTTGAGTGATAAATGATAATCAACGTTACGTAAGAGGACTACCAAAACAAAAGTTCATTGAAAAATCCTATTTGAGTTTTTCACTGGTAAAAATCCCACTGACCAACCTTGGTACTGAGATCTGGGCAAAGTGGTTCCCATCCCAGCGCACTTGGAGGCCGAAGGACGTCTGCACCGTGACGTACTGGCCGGCACGACTGACCGTCACCATGGGAGACGGGGAGTGAGGTAGCGCCACACGCAGGCCGTTCACCTGTGAGGATGCAGCGAGGAACGTAGCACGGTGTTGGTACAGCGCTGTGTTCAATCACAATATCGCTGTGCGTTACACTGCCGACTTTTTGTGCAGCGTAGTCACTTGTCTGTCACGGAAATCTTGCTCAATCTTTGTCTTACAGAGATGGTTTCTTACATGCTGATTAAAATGCAGTTTTAAAAAATGTAAGTAAAATAATGAATATCCAAGCAGCCCCCTGGGATTTTCCATTTTCTTCGGCTCTTATTGGCTAGTCATAACATGCTCAAACTTTTTTCAAACTCTTTTAAAAAAAAAAAAAAAAAAACAACAAACAAAATGAAAAACAACAACAAAAAACCCTTGCAATTAAAAACAAATCATATACTAACGAATCTGAAGCAACTACAGCTGTAGACGGGCGAAAGACGCCATCTAGCAGAAGAAAGGATCATGACCAGTTGCTGTGTTGGGTTGTCAAGCAAGGCACTCTTGATCGGTTTTAAATATTTTACTTTGAAAAGTAATGACACGCGATACACATTTTTTAAAAAAGACAACAGGGCCGTTCTCCTGTTAATAAAACACAAATAAATATAGTAGGGTACTGCTTAAAAATGACATCCAATACCTGTACAATCAATATGACTGACCTCTGGCGTGGTCTTGTTGAAAACATCACGTCCTTGGATGATGTCAGTCATGACTCTTTTTCTCAGCTGTTGGTACTCCTCCGCAGTCAGCTGAATGGATTCCAACTCTGTTCCACAACTGTTGCACACACCCCTACACTCACAGCAATACACATATATAGTAACCACAAACATTTTTTTTAGCTCATGGTACAAGAAAATCAAGAAAAATATTTGTTCTGAGTGTGTTTCAGTTCAATTAGTTACTTTGGCGAGGCGCTGCTCCAAGTTCCTCTCCACTTCTGTCGTGGAATACTGAAAACGGTGAAGAGAGCATGAGACCTGAGAGTTGGGGTGACCAACTCTGGTCCTCGAGGGCCATGATTATCTTGCATGTTTTAGATGTTTCACAATACCAATACACCTGATTAGCTTGCAGATGAGCTGATCATTGGAGTCAGGTATGTTGGACTAGGGAAACATCGAAAACATGCAGAATGGTGGGCGTCAAGGACCAGCGTTTCCCACCACTGCCTTTTAGTTAAACAAGTCAGAATGTGACTAAATTCCCTGTGTGTCTAATTTTTTTTTCAGTGAGGATCTACAGAAGTCTAAATTATATTTAGTGATTTTCACTCAAGTTGCTTAACTAGGTGCTAGTGACATTCTCCACTAAGTTAATTATTCACATTTGCTTTGAGCATGTAAAAATCTCAGACTGAATCAGGCGCTAGTTAAGGTATCAACATTTTCTCTTTTTTTGCCATCTAATTTAATATGAGCAAGTACGTCTTAATTATTTAAGCAAAACTGTAGAAATTTAATCTGAACATTTGTGAATTTTTTTGGTAAATCGTTCAAATCATGTTTTGACGCAAAGTCACTGGTGATTTGGGCTGGAAATCTTAGATTAGTGCACAATATGCTCAAATAACATGAAAAAAAAATGTCATGATGAATTCTCAATACGAAACTCAAGTCATACCTTTTTTTTGCAATGATGTTGTATGGTGTTAAATTTGTGTAATATGAATTAAACCGAAAGATCCACCAGTTTTAATCCATCCCACAGGGTTAACATTTGTTCTGTACTGCCACCTGCTGCCGAACGTCCCATGAACAACTCCAGAAAACAGGTGAGGCATGACAGTCGCAGGATGAGCCCGTGGGCACCGTGACATCAATTTGTGTCGACAGCACGTGGCAGAACAGTACTTTTGTACAACTGCTTATCAAGCACAAAAATCTGCTCCTTAAACTCACAATTTTATTAACCCGTCATCTTCATCACTGTCTTGTACCTTTCAAACCAGGTCTTGATACTGTTAGCCAGACTCAGCTGCGGGTAAACTTGGTTGTTCCTCATGTACAGCAGAATTCCCAGCAGCCTCTCTCGCTGCTCGCTCAGCAACATGGTTTCTTCGTCCTCCATGCCCACTGTCTTAAAAAGACATGTCCAAGTCTCATGTTGTGGGCTCAGACCTTTTGCCAATAATTCCTCATAAAGAGCCCAGGCAGTGCTTGGATCACCATTTAGCATGGCTGCAGCAATTATATTGCCATAACTGCGAGATGATGGGGTAACAACCTGTCAAGATGACAATCAAATCAGATATATGACAATACAGTCACTGTGATAGCACTAACCTCCACCTTGCTGCAGATTGATGAAAATGTGTAAGAAACTGCTATTAAACAACCCAGAGTTTATTCACCTTCTTAAGGTCTTGTAGGAGGCTGATCGCCTCTCGCCACCTTGCTGTGCGGCTGAAAGACTTGATGAAGAGGCTATAAGCGCCGGTATCCAAAGAGGGGAAGCTCTCTCGCATAATATCGTAGACGTCAAATACTTCTTTGTCATGATTGCCATTCACACATAGTGCCAGATACTGCAATAGGATTTTATAGTTAAGCGTTCCTGTTTCAGTGGCAACAAATGACAGCAGAGACCTATGGCAAAGCAGAACATACAAGAATTTGCAATTAATCACTCAACCTGAGTACCGAATGACGGTAGCCCATTTTAAAACAAAAACAAAAACAGCAAGAGCTTCTATGTCACTTAGCAACCATTTAAGTCCTCTTACTTGGCAATATCCAACTCGGCCCCAGATTTTAATAGTGTAGACAACATGCTAATGTCAAATCGTTCCGGACTTCCAAGAGACTCCTTCAGTTTCTTCCATTCCTCAACAGATAACGGCTGGTCAGGTGGCTGCAGTTTTCCTGTAAAACACATCAGCTATGAATAAAATACACATTTCTATATATACATTTTTTTTAAAAACCATAACATAGCAAACACATTCTATAATTGCAGGCTCAAAAAATAAAACAAGCTTTCACCCACACACGCCCTTTTACTGGTAATTAAACAGAATGTCTAACAGCAAGGTAATACTTGGATTCTTGAAAGTTGAATTTATCCCTACCTTTCCTCACGGATGTGCTCTCCGCAGACTCTTCGTGATGATTCTCTTCTGGGGAAAATCCCGCCTTCCTCTTCAGCATTTCTGCCGTCCTCTTCGCTGTACCAGCAGCGAACACGTATTTGGGGATAGGAGGATTTTTCCGGAGAAAAAAGTCCTTGCCCTCTCTATCTGCCACACTGTCCCACAACTCATTTTTCGTTTGCCTGACGGTGCTATTTTTTAATTTGCTCTGCAAATGTGTCTGCCTACTGTTGTTTCTGCACAATTTTGGGCCGGAGCTCCAGTCCATGGAGCACTTAATGTGTGCCGTGTTCGGCAACGCGAGGAACGCTAAAGATCCTTGATTAATAAAAGGTAATGCAGACCGAAGGCATCGCTTAAGGCTTAATATCACACTGGACCCCATGGCCAATGTCGCTCCTGTTATGCTTAGAACTGAAGAACGGCCTTCAAATTCCAATATTTACAATAATTCTTTTTGTAAACAATCTGTATGAATGGAAATCCCCCCACATAGCTCAGCACATAGCCACCACATCTCAATAAACAAATAGAAAAGGAGACAACCCGAATAAATATGTTGTTTTTAAACATACATATGTCCGGCATACACGTGAACTCTCTACTCAAATTGGAATTGTACTATTTTTCAGCTTCTGCACAACAGCAAAACAGTGAGCTCCGTCGCATATGTGACGCAATCAACATTCGACAGCACAGGTCACTCAACGGAAGTATGTCAGCTTCCAAAGATTTTCAAAACAAGAAATTCTCCATTCCCTATCTTTCGTAATACAGTACTGTCCTTGAAATTGTATATTTATTTTGAAAAACGTAATTTAACAGGAAGCACAGTTAAATACAACTCGTCTACTGATGTCCTCTTGCAAGTTTCTGAATACGATGATTTCGACTACTGACTGAATTGTTAAAAACAATCTGGATGTAGTTTTGCAAACTTTTGAAAACAATCATGGCGAAAAAAAATTGGACTCATTGGTCGGATATTTTAAAAAGGAGGCTAGCAAACGCAAATCGAGGTAAGTGATAATGCTAACTTAGGCTAGTTGATCTTTCATTTCGGTGAACGATCAATTTAATTTTTCTCGACTGTTTTTGTCGCTGTCCAGATGAAAGGAGCCAAGAAGAAAAGAAATCTGAAGAAATGGATCTGTTCACCAAATATTATTCTGAATGGAAGGGCGGAAGTGACAAAAACAAATCCTACAAGAACATTCCTCGATTCTACTTTAGGGTATCAAATCACCTTGCTCACAATTACATTCGTGGACGTCCATCTAATATGAAAAATGTTACAATACAATACAATACATCCTGATTCATGTATGACTTAATTATTACATTATTACTAACTAGGACACATTGACATTTTATTTAAAAAAATAGTTTTGGTGTTAATTGACAGCTACCAGCTGAGGATGAAGTTTTACTCCAGAAACTGAGAGAAGAATCTAGAGCGGTCTTCCTGCAGAGGAAGAGCAGAGAACTGTTGGACCATGAGGAAATCCAGGTAGCACACATTGACTCACATTGCTTCTAAAAACATTTCAAATGGCCAATATTTACAATCCGAAACGCAAATATTTAGACCACTTGTAATAAAACAGGAATTTCAAACGGAATTCACTCTTTTAAAATAATGGGCTGTTACGAAAAGCATGGTCTTATCAACATGCCCAGGCATTTTCCCAAAACCTTTAACTTAAATTCTAAAATTAACCAACAGTGTATTTCTTTTTCATTTTGTAGTGTTTCTTTTGGCTGCACTGCTTCCAATGCATGTGGATGATTTTTTTCAATCAAATTTAAGCCTCTACAGTCATGCTAAAAAAAATACAACATATTCTTTTTTTTGGTCTGACTTTACACCAAGCATTCCCTTAAAAGTGATACATAAAAGTTATACCCATCTTTTTTTTTAATTCCTCTGTTTGCCCGCCTGTCTCTCTGTAGAATTTGTGGTTTCTGCTTGAGAAGCACCAAGTGCCTCCAGTGAATAGTGAAGAGGCCATGATCAGTTACGAAGCCTATCTGGAGGTGGGCGACCTGGCTGGGCCCAAGTGCAAGTAAGTTCAAGGAAACAGTAGTTAAGTAGCAGCTGACAAGCATGGACCTGTGTAAATTCATTCTTCATTTTTTTTGAACTAAGGTAAAAAAAAAAACGCATGGACCTGTGTAAATTCATTCTTCATTTTTTTTTGAACTAAGGTAAAAAAAAACACACACTCTCTTATTAACTGTTATGAAGCTATTGTTAATTTTATATACAGACAGTTTTTGATACAGCTCTTGTATTTGGTTGGTTTGAATTATGTTGGTGTCGAACATTTATTGAGCCAAGACACACATTTTACAGTCCTACTTATGGCACACAAACATTGGGATTCATTGACTTAATCTGAAGTGGAATAAATACTACTAGTGTGGAAACTAACTGGACTAATCAAGCACATTTATGGCCCAAGACGTATTTTAATATAAATAAAATTAAACAAAAAATTGCAGAATCAATTTTCCTCTCACTAGATGGTGATACATTACTTTGTAAATGTCAGGGGACTGACTGTTCTACTGATGCCATAGTGACTCAAACAGTGAAAATAAATGTCTGTATCTACCGACACCTTGATTCACATCCTCTATCTCACGAGAATTGTTTTGGAGACTTCCTTGCTTTTTTTTTTTTGTGGATGGGCATATTCCAGTTAATTGTTACAGAATTATTTTTTTCCCTATGTCAAAAAACTGCAAAGCAAGTGTTGGCCTCAGACCTTGTATAGTATTGTATGTCTCATTTGTTTTATATTCACAATGTTTACCTGAACATCTCTGCTAATGTTTAGCTGGAGTAATAACATTTTCCCTATAAGCAGGATACCTAAGATCATTGCACCAAGAATGAATAATCACCTGCCCCTTTTTTTTTCCATCAGCAAATTCTTCACAGCCAGAGTGTATGCCAAACTGCTCCACAGCGACCCCTACGGCAGGATCTCAATCATGCAGTTCTTCAATTACATCATGAGGAAAGGTACAACTTTCTCATCATGACTTCAATTTGTTTTCAATTCTTAGATGTTGATGTTGCTGCCAGGAACAAAAACAATGAAATCTTTTAGTCATTTTAATGCAGCGTGACAACAGTGTACCTATAATCTGCCTAAAGTAACATTGCTGATAGCTTCCAGCCTTCCTCATCCCTCTATAAGAGCATACGTAAATTGTGTCCAGTGTGGCTTCATAAGACCCGGATTGGCCTGAGTCTCTATGATGTGGCGGGACAGGGCTTCCTCAGAGAGTCTGTAAGTATTTCCTCTTTAAATCTTAGTGATAGAGTGGTCTATTACCTTTAAAATATAATGATAATAATCACCAGCAGTGCAGTGGCTGAGTTCAAATCTCAGCTCCAGCCTTCCTGTGTGGAGTTTGCATGTTCTTCCTGTGCTTGCATGGGTCTTCTCCAGATTTCCTTCCACATTCCCAAAACATGTACATTAGGTTAATTGAAGACTATAAATCACCTGTGTCAAACTCAAGGCCCAGGGGCCAGATCTGGCCCACCATATCATTTTGTTTGGCCTGCGAGAGCAAATCGAGCATGTAAATTTTCCATGATGCTTTCTCAAGTCTGGACCAAAATTTCAAATTGTCAAATGTAATCCATCATAACATAGAGCAGTGGTTCTTAACTCATTCAGTACCAGCCAATTCTAGACCCCTTTTTTTCATTTTTTATTTTACCCTAAGTCTTGGAAAAAAAGGAAAAAAAAACTAAGTATCTGGGGTTGAACGTGTGGAGTGTGAAAATACATAAATATGTCTTTGGGAGTGAATGAGTTAACCTTGTTCGAGTTACCGAACCCAACCAGTTCATATGCACAAAATTACTGAACCCTTCATTAGTGAAAAACAAATATATGACCTTTTACAAATTCAAGACATAAAAAAGGCATTTATTAAAAATTGAAAAAAGTAAATAAAATTTCAAGATATAATTATACGTTTTTTTTTTTTTTTAATTTTACAACGTACTATCACGACAGTCACACGTTGACTACTGAGCGAACTAAATTTCCCGCAACACTGATTGGAGAAGCAATCTCATGTGATCATCTGCAGCCAGTAATGGCCAAGCGGGTGTGTCATAACTAATTGACATGTTGAGTCGGGTGTGCCTTAACCTCCATGGCAGAGGCTCCGTCGAACCCCTGAGACCGATTCACCGAACCCCTGGGGTTCGATCGAACCCAGGTTAAGAACCACTGACATAGAGATCTTGCAAGCATTATCTTGTTACGTACTTCTTACACATTCAGTACCAGCCAATTCTAGACCCCTTTTTTTCATTTTTTATTTTACCCTAAGTCTTGGAAAAAAAGGAAAAAAAAACTAAGTATCTGGGTTATTTTACCCTAAGTCTTGGAAAAAAAGGAAAAAAGTATCTGGGGCTGAACGTGTGGAGTGTGAAAATACATAAATATGTCTTTGGGAGTGAATGAGTTAACCTTGTTCGAGTTACCGAACCCAACCAGTTCATATGCTCAAAATTACTGAACCCTTCATTAGTGAAAAACAAATATATGACCTTTTACAAATTCAAGACATAAAAAAGGCATTTATTAAAAATTGAAAAAAGTAAATAAAATTTCAAGATATAATTATACGTTTTTTTTTTTTTTTAATTTTACAACGTACTATCACGACAGTCACACGTTGACTACTGAGCGAACTAAATTTCCCGCAACACTGATTGGAGAAGCAATCTCATGTGATCATCTGCAGCCAGTAATGGCCAAGCGGGTGTGTCATAACTAATTGACATGTTGAGTCGGGTGTGCCTTAACCTCCATGGCAGAGGCTCCGTCGAACCCCTGAGACCGATTCACCGAACCCCTGGGGTTCGATCGAACCCAGGTTAAGAACCACTTACATAGAGATCTTGCAAGCATTATCTTGTTATGTACTTCTTAGATTAATCAGAGATGAAAGTCCTCCAGATTTTCCCGGAATTCCGGGTTTTTCAAATTTTTATGAAAATTTCTCCGGAGATTTGAGTAAAATAAAATAAATAATAAAATTAATCCGGATATTAGTTGACAACATTGAACGAAGACGCGTTTGAGTTCGTTGTATTGC